GGGTTTAGGATTTAGGTTTTTAGGGTTTAGGGTTTAGCGCACAAAACCCCTCGCCGGAGCCGATCTCGGCAGAATTGCAACAGCCCCAAAGTCATTAGCGCTTGCAAGCGGGGACTCACAGCAGGAAGCCAAAAGCTAAATGAATAGGTTTTTAGGGCTTAGGGTTTTTGTAAGGTTTAGGGCTTAGGGTTTTTATAAGGTTTAGGGCTTAGGGTTTTTATAAGGTTTAGGGCTTAGGGTTTTTATAAGGTTTAGGGCTTAATTAGGGTTTTTTATAAGGTTTAGGGCTTAATTAGGGTTTTTTATAAGGTTTAGGGCTTAGGGTTTAGGTGAACTCCAGTGGGAAAGGTATCGCTGTGCTTGCCAGGAGACGGGGCCAGCGCGTCAAGGCTCGGGTTGAAGTCGCTGAGAGGAACCCGCCCGGCAACAAGTCGCGGGACCAGCGTGCGTACAATGACTCTGTGACGGTCGGACCTTAAACCCTAAATCCTAAACCCTAAACCCTAAAACCCTAAAACCCTAAAACCCCAAACCCTAAACCCACCTTTTGCTCCATGTCATCATACAAAAGCCCCAAGCCCCAATCCTGAACGAACAGGATGCCCTTACAGTCTCCATATACTTGCACTAGATCCCCCAAACCCTGCTTTTGATGGGGGGTTTTGGGTTTAGGGGTCTAGGGTTTAGGGTTCAGGGGCTTTGGGCTTAGGGTGCAAGGGTTTAGGGTTTAGTGGTTTGGGGTTTAGGGGTTTGGGGTTTAGGGGTTTAGGGTTTAGGGCTTAAGCACTGGAAGACACCTCCCACTGCCATGGCCATGAGGTCCTCGTCAGGGCCGCGAGGTTGGACCTGTTCCGGGCGTCGGATTGAAGCTGCCGGTGCTTCCGGGCTTGGGCGTCGAGGATCAAGGATGTAGGGCTTAGGGCCCTAAACCCTAAACCCTAAACCCTCATAGGGTTTAGGGATCTAGGCTTAGGGCTTATGTAGGGTTAAGGATACGCAGGGCTTAGGGCTTATACAGGGTTTAGGGCTTATGCGCGTTTTTGGACGGCCTCGACGGCTTCAGTGCTTTAGGGGCTGGAGGGCCGAGGGGGTTGAGGGTCTCTGAGGCTCTGGGCAACCCGAAAACCCAGGACCCTACACCGGTTTGGGCTCTTGGGCTTCTATCGGTTTAGGGTTTAGGGTTTAGGGTTTAGGGTTTAGGGTTTAGGGTTTAGGGTTTAGGGTTTAGGGTCATCTGCCTCAAGGAGCTGTGTCTTCTCAGGTCAAAGATTTGCGGGCTTGCGTGCTGAAAAACCTGCAGCACCCTCATAAAGCCTGTATAAAAACCCATTCCAAAAACCCTACAGAGCCGCTGTGAAGCCGATTGCTTGCAAGAAATCCTGACAACGGCCCGAAACCCGAAAACCACAACACCAAAGAGCTTTTAAGAAACCCTCTAAAATTTTAAAACATCCAACAGAATGCCTGTTAAGTCTCTATTCCAAACCAGCTATAAGCGCTCGACAAAAGCCCTATAGAAACCCGGTTACAACAACAACACATACAACAAAAACGTTGCGGCCCGAACAAAAGCGTTGAAATGCCTGCCAAAAACTCAAGAAAGCCCGGTAAAGCCCTAAACCCTAAACCTTTTCAAAGCCCTAGACCCCAGAAAGCCCCAAACCCGAAACCCTAGAAAGCCCTAAACCCGAAGCCCTAAACCCCAAAGCCCCTGAAACCGCAAGGCAGCCCTAAACCCTAAACCTTCAGCCCTAAAACTCCCCCAAACAAAAGTCTCTGCCTCGAGATACCAGGGCTTTTCCTGGGCCATCTCGTCAAACTCGGAGAGCGGCCGCTTCTTGCCCTTTTCCTTGGGGTTTTTTCTGGGGCCTTCCTTGCTTAGGGCTTAGTGCCCGGTTTGGGCGCGTTTGGGTTTAGGGTTTAGGGTTTAGGGTTTTATGGTTTTGGGGTTTAGGGGTTTATGGTTTAGGGTTAAGGGTTTAGGGTTTAGGGCTTAAGGTTCAGGGTTTTAGGGTTTAGGGCTTAGTGCCCGGTTTGGGCGCGTTTGGGTTTAGGGTTTAGGGTTTAGGGTTTAGGGTTTTATGGTTTTGGGTTTAGGGGTTTATGGTTTAGGGTTTAGGGTTTCGGGTTTAGGGCTTAAGGTTCAGGGTTTTAGGGTTTGGGGTTTAGTGCCCAGTGTTGGGCGGTTTTAGGGAGTTTGCAGGGCTTCGATATCTGGCTTTGGGGTTAAAGACGACCAAAGTTTAGGCTGCAGTGCCCTTTCCGTGGGGTCCGGGGTTCGGTTCGCGGTTTGAGGGTTTAGGGCTTAGGGTTTGGGGATGTAGGGTTTAGGGGTTAGGGATGTAGGGTTTTGGTTTCATTGAGTCATCATGGGACTTAGCAAAGCGGTCATTCATTTCGAGGTTTTTGACTTCTGACTTGAGCTCCTGCCTGGGGTGAAGTGGTTCTCTAATCTTGTAGCGTGAAGAGCATGGTTTCGCGTGGCCAGGCGCTAACTCCCTGTCTGTGGGAGCCCCATTACATGTGGAAAGATCACAAGTGGCTTCAAAGTCACACCTGGAGCACAAAACAATCATGCAAAATCTCATAAGACAACCTCCCAGGCCTTCCTCCTGCGAAGGGCTGCAATACTCAATAGTGACAACTACAAAGCAGAACAAGCGTGCAAAGCTCACACCCAGAAGTCCAATGCTTTGAAAGACCAGAGAGGCATGCAGCATTTCCATGTTGAACCGACTTCTCCCGATGCCGTTGAGTCAAAGACGAAACCCAGACTGTAAGAGTTCAAAACTCATGCTTCCAAACGAAGCTCTGCAGCCAGCCCCAAACCCGAAAGCTCAAACCTAAACCCCGTTTCGGTTCAGGGTTGACGGTTCCGGAGTTGGAGGGTCATGGTTTAGGGTTTCGGCGCTTGTTGCTGAGGACCACGGAAGATCATACTTTAAGGCTAGACCCTACATATATATATATATATATGTTTATTATCATCATCATCATCATCCATCATCATCATCAATTATGTGGGTATGAGCTACGACACTAGTTTGTAGCGTTTGGGGCCGCCGGTAAGTTTTGGGGATTTTGAGGGTGTTGAAGCTTTGGGATCTCGGCCAAGTATCGGCAAGATTGTTGTTCGTCTCCTGGTAGCGCATAAGCTTGCTGTGCCTCGGGTGTCCATTTTTGATGGCTTCGGTTTGGGTGTTTCGAGGGTGCCTTCCGACGAATAGAGATCGATTCCGACAATGTTGGGCCGAGAGCTTGCAGGCTGGAGGACTTGGTTTTGGGGTTGTTGGTTGAGGGGTGAAGGGCTCTGAATGCTAGGGCCCGGTTCCCCAAGGAAGCCTCGTGAGTTAGGGTTTAGGGGAGCACTCTGGCTATCGAGGGTCTAAATGCAACTGCCCTGCATGTTCGAAAATGTGGGCTTGAGGTGTTGAGCGCGTCCACATGCGTCCACTCAACATCGTTCACAGCTCCCACATACAGGCACACCTTCTCCTACAATTGCAACAACCTAAGCGTCACATTCAAACTCTCTGTCAAGCCGCAAACCCGAAACCGTGGAATCCTAAGCCCCAAATCCTACAATCCTGAACATGTAACAAACACCCCCAAGAAGCCGGCAAAACCAAAGAACGCTACAACAACCTCCATTCAAACAAGCGTAAAGGGAAATTCGAAAGCAAAAAGCTACATAAGCCAGAAGCGCTCCGCTACAAAAAAAAATCATAGACATGTACATACATGCTATCTACACATAAGTGCTGCGTATATATATATATACATATGCACACATAGATAGATGTATGTATGTATGTATGTATGTATGTATGTATGTATGTATGTGTATATATACATAAACGAACACATAAATACATAATATGTTACATATCTGTACCTATATGGCCTATAAATATATATTGTACC